CTTACACCAGGTGGGCAGCAGCAGATGGCAGACGAGGAGCCTCAAAGCCGACAATCCTGTTCTTCACGCCTTTAGCCGTATCGAGTGGCACCGTTGAGAAGGATTGTCCTCCGACTGCCCAAATGCCTGAGTGGCTGCCTTTTAATGCAAAAGTAATTCCTCATAGCAAACAACAATTGCCTCTGTTCGACTCGAATACATGCAAGAAATACCCTTGTATCATCTTCCAGATTTAACTACCCCGAAGAAGGCTTGAGAGAGCATATCTCCTACTACTACAAAACTTACCCCTGTGAAAATTAGTGCTTTGGGGTTATGGAGAGAGAGAGAGAGGAAAGGAAATACTTCTTATCATTAAAATTGCCAACACTTTTCCACTGGTTCCTTAAGAGGCCTTGACATACTTTAACCCGCAGATTTTAATATTTTTAGCAGTCCTATCAAATTAATCTGGTGATTACTGCTGTACGGGCTTATGGAACCTCAAACAGGTGAAGTAAGGTAATATTATGGCAGCTGAAGAATCTCAGGAATTAAAAGGGTTTATTTTTTATCTAAAGATGAGGTATAAGACAATAATAAGGAACGTGGAACGTGGACAATGAAGCATTTAACGTTGTTTGTTTGAAAAATTAATGTATGAACAATCATGTTATTTCCTCTTGTAAATTCTAAAAGTGGAGTGCCGGTGATACGGCTACATTTCCGGAAATCCTTACTAATTTACAGTATTAAATACCTTAGAAAGACAAAAACGACAACAACAGACACTCGTATTTAGCCCTCGAACACAACTACGAAATGCAACGAAGGCAGCAGTTTAGAAATGAGGAATGGTTATCTTATACAAAAACGATGTTTTATTAGGGTACGATACCCTCAATTGATGGAATTTATACGCAATTCAAGTCCCTTATTAATCTTTCATCAGTACCTTTAATTTTTAAAACAATTCTATTCAAATATTCCACAAAAGGAGCTCCAAGAAGCTCTGATCCCACATCGTTTGTCAGCTTCATCAGACAACTACGTGCTTCGCTGGACTGCAAAAAAACAACTCGCGTTATGCCACAGACGCCGATTCCGTGGAGGAATTTGAACAAAGGTGGACTGCCAGACAGCGGAATGGACAGCAACCAATGGATTATGCAGTTGCCTTTGCCAGTCCAGTAGAAGTCGATTAAAAGTGTTCCTAATTAACGCGTTTTTTTTGGATTTATGGGCAGTCGTCCTCGAATTTCGTGCCGAAGGGCTCCAAACTTTCAAAAATGATAGCTGAAAAATAAGGAACTTAATATACGAATCAAAATATTGAGAATCAAAAAAATATATAGCTTTACCATTAAACCACTTGAATGTACAATTTAAGGGGTAGTAATTTGGAATGGCTACGAGTTTACAGAATGGTGGTAACGTTAACCGGTAGAATACTTTAGCTTAAAAGGATGTGCCTGCGTGATAAATGGCTTCATGATGGTAAAGGTTTTATTTGGCAAAGCAAGTTCATAATTAGGGCTACTGCCTTGTACTTCAGCAATAAAGTTCCAATTTATTTGAAAGAAACTCACAGGAATTGAAATCGGAAGAAATCGGTAAGGCGAGCACCACCCAGAGACCAGTTGAGGTAACCCACATGGAGTAAATTCCATTAGTTGGAGCAGAGCTGTCAATAGCAATCACTCAATTAGCAATGCCAATTGGGACCTTGTAATGGCTCAACACTCTGGACGAAACCGCTCTGTGTTGTGTCTACCACTACGAGCACGGCTTCACAACCATTGTTGCAAAATGTTACAGTCTGAAACCAATTTACTCCTCGTTAGCTTTATGTGTGCCCTAGAATAAGGTGAACGGAAAACAAAGGAAATGGAAGTTCCCATCTTATACCAACTGAATGCCGAAAATTTCTGTGATTATTGCGGAAAAAGACGATGTACCTGATGTTTGGGGTTGATGCGATTTGGCGATTAATCTTTGCGCTTTCTTTGACAATGAATTGTGATTGAAAACCTTCTCTACTTAAGTCATTTTTTAGAAACTGAAAGAGTTGTGGATCATTATTTTTATTACCATTCTTTTGAAATGTGATATTTCCCCATTAGACTGGGGGATTCATTTCAACCAAATAAATTCTCTGCTTTACATTCCAGCAAACAAACCTTCAAGCAATTGCACGACTGCCTTTATCAGTCACTAATACATTTTAGGTATGGTTTTAAAAATCATATTTCACCCTTACCATCATCACATGAGGCACACCTCGTAGTCGTTGTGCTTAATATTAGTCCGAATGACAAGATCATCTTCTGTTCTTATTTTTCATAATGACCACCTTAAAAACTCAGGATGTCGCCAATGGGCCACCTATCAAGAACAACTCAAAGAGGACGGTCGTCTTGACAATCCAGCAGGTCAAATGGGTTGCTCTCAAATCGCCACGTTTACACTGGCAATGGGTTCTGAGTCAAGCATCACTCCCGTTGCCAACCCTCACGCCCCATTCCTACAGCTACAGATCTGCGTACCTTTTTTCACCTCTCCCTCGCCTCGCCATCCGTGCTGCGCTCGCCCGCGCGTCCCCTCACACACAAG